TCTTACAACATAACTTCGACCCAAACAATCTCCCCCTTTTTAATCAATGTCGAAATCAGTTGATCAAAAATTAACCTACCATGTGTAATGTTCTTCGCATCTCTGCATACCAATTCATTACTTTCTTTAGTTCAACTTTATATTTGTCATTGTTCTTCTTACAACTATTCATACGCACAATTAAGTTTGTATAGTGAGCAGTTGTATATCTTTCGATTTCACTTGATTGGAAAAAAAAACTTCGATGACTTTCCCTTCTTACTATTTCTAAAAAAATCAAACCAAATGGCTTCAAACATATATCACCATCAACATATTTCTTCAACTGAGCTTCACTTAAATTTTTTTCTTGAGGGACTGTTATTTCTTTTCCAATTGAACCTGCTAATTCCACATCAGTCAATGCTAGACAATCATAATAATTGTCTATGAATCGTTTAATGTGACCAAATCCAAAATGCACAACTTCTTAGCTAGTATTTTGATGTTTCGAAGCATAAATGTCTTTCAGTATGTATGCAACTTGAATCAAATCATTCAAGTTCATCAACAGTAAATCATCAATAGAAACTCGAAAGGAACCTTGTTTTCCCTTACTACATAACATCGAAAATTTTGTAGCATATTTTCAAAAAGTTCACCTTTCGATATGCTGAGTACTTGTGTAATATTTACTAAGGACCAAACATCATCTTGATCCTTTCCCAAGACAACATGAAACCTTAATTTCATGTGTATAAAATCCTCATTCTTCTTGAATATATCAACCACCTTCTACTGTGCAGTAAGAAACAACATTTCATTGATGGGAAAATCAAGTTGATTCAGATCCGAATTGTGAATAGCATAACTCTTTCTAGGCTTCTTCTCGAATTCAACATTTCATTAAAACACAACTTGGCTTCGATATTCTCATAACTGTGCAACTTCCTTGGATCTCCCTTATTCAAATGTGGAGGATCATTTTGTCGAAGCCTTAGAATGCTTTGAATCCGTCTCTGTTTATCCATTTTCACCTCAATCGCAGCCTTTCTTTCTTCTTTAGATTTTTAAATAAGAATCTTCTTCCCTCTATCTTGAATTTTTGAAATTTCTTTAGGTTTTGAACCATGTGACAAACTGAAAATTCTTGCCTTGTAAAGCCCAGCCAGTCAACTCAACTGAGTGTCAGACTCGTTTCTGTTATCATTTATCCTTGTTTAGAGTCTGTTCAAAGGAACAAAATCAGTACATTCAAGCATTAAGTATAGGATTGGGTCGCGTACACTTCTAGCACCAAACATCAACCCCTACACTCAATTTGAGTGACTGTACGACCGTTCACCCATGTTGGGCTGTACACCCCTCTGTAAGTATGTTATCCCTTCATTTCTAATCCATTCTTCAGTTTCCAAGTTAAGAACATCGAGTTTTCTCTCAACTATCATCAAGATTCTCACCCGATCTTCAAGAATGTAAGCCTTTCTTCCATTTTGATTTGTTGTTATACTTCTTCTTCTAGTAACACCCTTTGATTTCATCCATGGAAATCATATATTGGCTAGAACTTCAAGTCTAACCAAGAACACCACGAACACACACTCGTTCTTGGTGATTTTGAGCCTTCTTGAGCCTCTAGATTGTTAGTACTCTTTCCTTAATCTTAGATCTTGTAAAGAACACTAGATTAACACCTTAAAAATTCCCAGAACTCAAGAACATAAGTTGTGTATAACCATCACCCATGTGTGGTCATACACCCTTCAAAACACCCTTAAAGGGAATTCAAAACGCAATTCTAGCTTCACCACTTGTTGAGCAATCTTCCCACAAGCCTCCCAACCTTTGGAAAACACTTTTGTGAACTCATTACCATGAGTGTGCGGCCAAACACTCCCTGGCCATACACCCTTGGCTGCGCACTCCTCAAAATGGCCGTACACTCCCCTTAGTTGAATCACATGTGATTCTAACACTTGGTCCAAGTGTTTCCTACTCCCGTGAGGTGTTTCCTTGCATTTGGTTTCTTCTAAACACTATATTTATGCCAGTATATGCCATTATGTGTCATCTAGGACTCGTTAATTCTCGGGATTTCATTCGTGGAATTTCTCATCCTTACGTGCATATTCGTTTGAATCACCCACATAAGGTGAGTTCATACCCTGTAATTAATCTTTTAAACAGTTTTAAATGCTTTTAGGGGGGGGGGAGGGGGAATACAAGTTTAACACAATGATAATTGTGTAAATGTTTGTTATGATCATCTTTCAAAAGATTGCTTATGTCTTTTATAAGTGATCAAAACATTTCAAAAACTCTTTTAAAGTTATGTTACTTTATAGTTTAACAAAACTCCTTTTATAAAGTACCAGCATAACTTAGTAAATAAATGAGTCTTTCCAATAACAGATCAAGTATAATACTAGTAAACTATAAGGGGTATAGTTTAGGGGTTCAATTCATACAAAGATACTATAACAGAAAGAACACAGTAAGATACTATAACAGAACGAACATACTAAGATGCTACAACATGAGAACAACTACAGGATCTAATTATACCAATGAATCACTAACTCATTGTTCTAAACAAAAGTTGATTGTTAAATTGGTTATACATGATCGCATAACTTTAATGTGGAGTTACATGGCCTAGCATATATTTGCTGAAGTCGCGTTTGGTTCCCATAATCATTTGATAGGGAGAGCGTATAGTATGGGTACTAGCCTTCACATTTTGACCTTACTACCACAAACATGTTTTAAGGAAATCAGTACGTCATGATGTCAATTCAAAAGACAACTTTGTACTTATATTTTCCCATTACTTTCATTTAGTGACAGTTCCACTTGAAAGTTAATGCCAACTATTTTCGAGTTAAAATAGTTATAAACTAGGGAAAACTTACATTTTTTCAAAACTACAAACAAAACAGTCTGGTCTAGTACATTCAGTAGAAAGGAACCATAATGTTAACCTTATGATTCCTTGATGTATACATCAAGGGATATATACTAATAGGATTTGACAGATAATAGGATGTGTGCTTTCCACTTCATTTCTTGTTCCTTGTTTGGTTGTGGGCTTAGAGCGGATTCACCCAACCTATCATAGGACACTAATTCAATGCACATTTTTCTAGTACAAAACATACTTTTCAAATAGAACATTTGGTGTACAAAAACTAGAAACTTACCAGTAAAAGGTTTAATCCATTTTATTAAACCAATATAAATTAAAGGATCTTAGGTGGTTAATCATATAATACCTTAGTTTATATATCAATGTTGTATATAATTAATATCTGATAGGTAGTTGGATGTGTGAGTTCCGCCTCATTCCTTGTTCCTTGTTTGGTTGTGGGTTTAGGACAGATCCACACAATTAACTATTTGTTCGATATTGGATTATATATAGCTAGTATAAACTAAGTGATTATAGAAAGAACCACTGTGATTACTATTTTTATTATAAGAAATAAGGGTTTTCTTAAAGAATCTTTTCATCAAATATAAAGGAACTATTGCAATTAACTCCATGAGTACCAAGTGAATTTGCCACGGTTATATACAACAAGGATCTAATAAACAATGGGATGTGTGTCATCCGCCTCATTCCCTGTTCCTTGTTTGGTTGTGGGCTTACAGCAGATACACACAATTGATTGTTTGTTTACTCTGAGTTTTATATAACTTGTATCCATTTAGTACTCATAGAAAGGATTGTAGAGTAATTTTTACTTATCTTTCATCAAAGCAGGAAATATAGGATTCTTTGGAGGAACAGGTGAACTTTTCTAAACAAAACTTACAACTTACTAAACTTTCTTACAACTTACTTACATCACTAAAATCTTATGAACTCACCAACTTAATGCTGATCAACTCTTTCAAAATAAGTTGTATTCTCAGGAAACTAGTAGACAGGTACTTGCGTTGGGAATTCAGAAAATGGAGCAGTATAGCTTCATGTCTTATTTTGTTATTTGCATATGTGTTCTATGTTTTGTGAGCACACACATTGTAAACACTTTCTTTCTAATAAAATGATTGTTTATTACTGTGATTACTATGATGCATGTCTTGTGATACTAAACATGACGTCCTCCACCCCCGAACGTTTCCGCCGTTCCGGTTTTGGGGTGTGAAAAACCACTTCCCCCTTCACTAGTTGAACCAGTTATAATGCCTTTCATAATTGGCTTTGTAGTAACAACAATTGAACTTACTGGCTCAGCATTCGACACAGTTGATTTTGATGTTGGAATTTGAGTAGGGTACACCTTGCCAACAACCTTTGCTTCTTCATTTAAAACACCAGATGCACCTTCTCTTTTACCAACCTTCACCTGTTCTCCCCATTGCACCCCTGTAACAATAGGCGAGGCATTCGTTGGTAAGAGAATGACAATTCGAGACAATGGTTCCAATTGTTTGTGAAGAACTGATTCAAATAGAAGAAATTTCTAAGACAAGAATTCTTGTGTTATCAAATGAGAGGATCCAGGCTTCAAGAAAAGTGCTTTCAACTCCGTTAATAGATTGGTGATTTCAGATAAGCGTTGAACTTGATATTTGTACATTTAGTAATCTAAGGACTCAGAGCTTCATACAAGTTGACAAATTTTGTCACCACATCTACAATGATGTCCATTTTTTGATTGAGAGATGCATAATCTTGTTGCACAATAGCAATCTCTTTAGACATATCTTCTCAAATTTCTTGAAGTTTAAAATTCACATCCTCCCGAACCTTTTTAACATCTAGAACGAATAAAACATAACGTTCTTTGGCAACACGCTTAAGATATTTGATTTCCTTATTGAAATTCGAAGACTATGAATTTACTCTTAACTCATTATTTATATCATTAGCATCCGCCTTCACATGAATTCGAGATTCAGATTCTTGAATTAAGCCATAGAATTTGTTAAACAATCGAGCTTCTTGTGCTTTGAGCATCACATTGATTGCAATACTAGACACATAATATCTACCCCTTTGCATCAGCTTTAGATTAAAGAATAGAGTTAAGCTTCTTGTTTAAAATCATGAATTTCTTCCCTAACATTAACATGTGATCTTTGATGTCTTTTTCTTCTGGATCGAATTCAAGATCAACAAAAGTACCTCCAAACCCTCCATCAACAGTTTCAGTATCACCAATAGATCTGAGTGGATCAGTGGATTGTGAAGAGAATAACGAAGTGATGGGTTGATTGATAATATTATCAAAAGTTGGTGAAGATGACACTGGAATTGTAGGAATGATAAATGGTGTTAAGGAAACAGGGGTATTTACAGTAGAAGTTTTGATAATACCTTGAGTTATCATGGGAGGTTGTTTATTCAAATATCCTTCACCCATAGTGACATTTACATCCATATCAGATACGTGTGTAATAATGTCTGAGGTTCGAAATTCCTCAATAGATGTCTTGGTTAACAAAACCTCGGGTGGTATGATCGGAGTCTGCTTAGGAATCAAAGTGTGTGTTGAAAGAATAGCTTCTGGAGTTTCGGTAACTTCTTCTTCTATAGCTATTCATTTCTTTGATGAAGGAGACATTGGAGCTTGAACTTCACGAATAACAACCACTTTGCGAGTGACATGAGGCTTTCGAGTGAATTATGGAGAAAAAATTGAAAACCTTTTTAGAGACTTTCGGGTATGATGAGCTTTCGTTTTGATTCTTTTAAGTACAATGGATTTTGAAGGAATAGTTTCTGTATGAGGTTAGACAAATTCAGTTTCAACAAGCTCAGTAATAGTTTTTGAAACTTGCACCACCATCTCAGGTTGTTGCTTCAAAGATTTTGTTGCAACAGGTTCTTGCACAGTGTGCTCTTTTATAGAATTATCACCCTTCTTTAATCTTCAAGATTTCTTTGAAGAACCTGCATCTGGTTTGGCCAATAAAACACCTATATCTTCATTTGGATTAATCGAAACCAAATGCACCATTAATTAACAATGGATTATTTGGATGAACATGCTTTAGCATTGCATTTGGAATCCGTACAACATTAGGAAACACCTCTTCATCATCCTCAATCGCCTTCGGGAAATTATACTTCAAAAAAAAACTTTTTGTTCATTAGTAGGCACCTCAATCCCTTTTTCTTCATACATATAATGAAGAATTAAGCTCCAGTACCTCGCACATGAAATCCCTTGTACAACATTTGCATTCTCCATAGTCTTTAGAAACTCTTTCCACATTTGAGTCAAATAATCTACAACAAGATCATAGTAAATACCAGTAACCAAGACATATACTTCCATTCTTCCTTTATCTAAGCCAACACTCTGACCAGTAAGATATCGAAGAAAGATACCGAAAAGAAAACTCCAAAGACAACTGTGACAACCCGAAATTTCTTTTTGGTCAAACCTTAAAAGTCAACCCCTTCGTATCGTGATTTAATATCATTATTTCTTATTTTTAAGAAATATAAAGTTCGTTTAATTATTTTATTATTTTTAAATGAACGGGTAAAAGAAAGTGTCGTCTCGGATTTTTATTTTGAAAACCGCAAACACTTCTCGTATTAGGATCACCCGGCTAAACTTTTATGTTTTGGGTTTAAAAATCACCCAAAAACCGTAAACTCATATCTAAGTATGAGTTTACTCCCCAAGAACTAGCCATTTGTGTTTACTCCCCAAAAAGTGAAAAGAGTAAACTCCCAAAAGCCCTCTCAACTATCATCCAACCTTTAATTCCAAAAATCCGATCTTGTAAGTGTTCTAACCATTTCAAGTTAGTAAAACACTTAATCTAGTGTTTGTACACCTATTCATCCGTTTATTTGTGTATTTTGATTAGATTTCCGAAACACCAAGAACACCAAGAACACACACTAAGTGTTCTTGGCCCTTTTAGCTCGAATCAAGCACCATTATAGTAAGTACTCTCATCGTTAAGTGCTTGTAAGCTAGTATATAAAACAAACACCAAGGAAATCAGCCAAGAACATAAGGTTTGAGGTGTTCAAGGTCCAAGAAGATGCTTGGACCGTAAACACCATAAAGTCCCTCAAATTTGGCTTAAGTCCCATTTTAAGACCTAGTTTGAAGCCCTAGACTTACCTTAACATATCTAAACCTTCCATTGATATGTTTAAGAATTTTAAACATCAAACACCACAAAATATAGGTGTTTACGGCCTAAGGATATCTCAAGGCCGTAAACACCCAAAAGGTTGTTTAAATGGGTCATATTCCTTACTTAGCCCTAAAAACTAACGTAAACGTTTACCTAGTGGTGTTAAGGACTTAAAACAATGGAAATAGCACTTCCCATAGGGGTTTACGGTAGTAAACCCAAGGGAAATTACCCTTAGGACGTAAACACCTCAAGGTGGGTGTTTTGTAGCCTTAATCCATTCTAAGAGCTAAACCACTTAGCAAGGTTGCTTCTAGGGACTTGTTAAACTCCAAAACAACTCATGGTTGCAATATTTGGAGTTTAGACCGTAGACCCTAGAGTTTACTGCCATAAACTCCAAGGGTAAAGGTCATTTAGACCGTAAACTCCCAAGGAGTTTACCCTTGGACCACAAACACCCTAGTTATGCCCTACTAGCACTCGGATGCAAACCTTGTGAACTTTAACACTTGAAACAAAGTGTTTTCAGGTTCTAGAGTGTCCCAACTCATATTATTAGTTATAATAATGCTAATTACTTATACATATGTTCATTATATGATAACTAGGCTCGTGCGTGTGTACAAGTCTCCAATTGTCACCTAGCACCGAACCCGACACTTCAATCCAATCCACTCACCACAAGTGAGTTCATACCCCTCTAATTAATCTTTGAAATACTTTTCAATATTTTAAATACTTTTATGGGGGGAGGGAATACAAGTTGAATACTTATGGTTATTACATCAACCACATGTGATTAATAACTATAAAACCAATGATTTTATCACTGTTTCAAACTATTTATCAACTGTTTTACTTCAAAATGTTTTACAAACTCTTTTCTTACCAAATACTTTTATTTAAATTTTATTATACTTCTTATAAATTGCATGTTCATATATGTATAGATATATGAGAAATATTTAAAAGGCTTAGGAAGGCCATCCGCCCTATTTCCTTTTCCTTGATTTGGATGTGGTCTGGTGGGATGACGGGTAGCCGTCCGAAGGTCGTTTCAGTATTAATTATACATCATATGTGCATATATAGACATAAAAGTACTTCTATATTCATGCGTATTAGTTACATCATTAGTGAGTTACCATAGGTGTAACACAGGATTACATTTATACTATTGCCAGATCAATGAGTCAGTTCATTCACAAGTCATATACTTTACATTACTATGAGAACATATACAACTATACTAGACGAAAAACACATACAACGATACTAGAACAAGTAACAGTACATTACACACACACACATATATATATATATATATATATATATATATATATATATATATATATATATATATATATATATATATATACTTTTACAAAATTGTGATCCACTGTATCGGAGCATGCCTTAAATGTCATGGCCCGAGTTGTCGCCAGAATTCTCTTGAAGGGAGAGCGTGAGTTTGCGTATAGATTTATACTGGATTGACTATCCTACACCTTGCTGCTAGCTACAGCCGGACCTGCAGGTCTGCGGGTGCCAAATGTCTTTTCTTTTTACGACCTTTCATTTGTCGTTGTTATCCAGTCGATAGTATGGTACAACTAAATCACATGATACCTTAATATACGTGCAATTTAAGGTAGATAGTACCATAGTAGTTCCTACATTATAATACTACAATACTACAGTAATTTATCCTTTATATACATTTAGTGATTATTTCACTTAAACAATAATGTATAAACTATATTTTGATAATGATAGTTACACTTGGAAAATTACATACTTTTACAATAGTCAAACGTACAAAACAGTTATGCCTTGGTAGAAGGCTAATTTTAATAGAAAATATAGGTTTTTCTGTGAGATTCAACCTTTTACAAACACGTACAAACATTTACATACTTTTATCACAAATGCTTACAACTATTGTTTATAACTATGTTCAAACGTTTTGATACAAATACCGACACTAAAATACTTATGAACTTACCAGCTTAATGTTGATAAACTTTTTCAAAATAATTTGTATTCTCAGGTCATCAGTAGACAGGTACTGATGCCAGCTTTTGAGAAGATGGAGCGCATCCAAGACTCCTCTTATTATTTTGATTTACATTATTTGTGGTGTCTATAACTGTAAAGAACACACTTGTATTAAAATTTTATATTTAATGCAATGGATGATGTTGTTTTCTTGTTTAGTTTTACTGTGTTGTGATACTTTACATGACGTCCTCCACCCCAGAACGTTTCCGCCGTTCTTGGTTTTGGGGTGTGATAGTTTGGTATCAGAGCATTGTTTATAGTGAATTAAGTATATCAACCCATAAAAGATATACTAACTATAAACCCATTTGGGATTAAAACACTCTGTCCAAGAGTCTATACATTAAATACTAAAATATTTAATTAAGTATACTAGTCTGCATTCACACTAAAACCAGTGTCACAACGACAAGAACAAGAGTATTACGATTATTAAATATCACATGTAAGCTTGGGGATGTAGGGTCAGTCCTGGGAATGGCATAGCCTGATCAACTATGCTGGTCCGAGGAGTGATTAGCATATGCCCTAGAATGGTTGTGATATGTTAACAAGTCTAAAAACTTACCAACAATACCAAACATAGATCAGTAAAGCCTAAAATACTATAGGAGTATTTTGTACTACTATGAGCTACTTATATACTACATTCTTATTCCTCTCTTCTCGCGTAGATCTAAATGGCTGGATTCCATCATGGCGACTCGTAGTTTCCGAATGAAGGCAACGCAGGATGGCTCGAAGCAGAGTCCGATGATGAGCATCAAATCCCGTTGGATGGTCATCAAGCAGAAGGCTTATCGAATGGATCTGACTTGGAGCCCGAAGTCAACAACCTACCTCCAGTACGTCAAGCCACAAACAACAACCCTTGACCAGCTTTTCCAGGTCCCACTCCCTTGTGGGTAAACAACTTGAATCACTGGAGTGATGAATAGGGTCAACCCTTACCTTACTTTGGGGACCGAACCTTTTACCACGTTAGCGATGGTGGCTCTGCGGATCGAGCTCTGCCCGTCATGATCCGCAGAATAGCTCGCAATGATGAACAAGGTCGAGCGGCCATCGACCGGGTCATGGAGATTGATGGAAACTCTGGTGTCAACACAGTCCGCATCCGTCGTCTCGAAGAAGACATGGAACGGACCCAAAGAACCAATGAAACCCTACAGCAACATCTGGTTGCCTCTCAAGCAGAAGTCATGGAACTTCG